GCCGCATCGTCAACGACACAGAAGACATGCAGGCAAGCTCTAAACCCTAAACCCTAAACCCTAAACCCTAAACCCTACATCCTAAACCCTAAATCCTAAACCTAGGACGCTGCACGATGGGTGTGAACAACTTGGAGGGCCGAGGGTTTAGGGTTTGAGCGCAGGAGACCTTTTTTTTTGGGGGTTTCCGGGTGTATGAGCAATGCCAAGGCGTTTAGGGTTTAGGGTTTAGGGTTTAGGGTTTGTGTGTGTGGATGCATGGGTGCAGCAAGTGGTAACAAGCGGAGCACAGAAGCTGCTGTCTGCTGTAGTGAATGCTTCTGTGGGGGCTTTTCTTATGTTTCGGCTGTCTCCGCAAATGACTGCGCTCGGCATGCTGGCGGTGCCCTGCGTGTTGATGGGTACTGGGGGCGCGGCGCGCGCCATTGGTAACCTAGGTAAACCCTAAACCCTAAACCCTAAACCCTAAACCCTCGATAGAAAACCTTAGGCGATGGATACTACACTTTCTACTCGCATGCATGCAAGTTGGTGCTTTGGTCGTGGATGGGGCTGCATGCAGGGCTGCTGCAGAACGACCTGCTGGCNATGCATGCAAGTTGGTGCTTTGGTCGTGGATGGGGCTGCATGCAGGGCTGCTGCAGAACGACCTGCTGGCAAACATATCTTCGATAGCTACAGAGGTGCTGGCGAATATCTACACCGTCAAGGCAAACGCTGCAGAGGCCATTGAACTTCAGGTGCCGCACCACATATTTTGGGGCTGCATGCATGCATGCATACATGCATGCATGCATGCATGCATGCGTTCGTGCATGCAGGGGAGATTGATGCATGTTGGCTGGCGGGCACAGCAGACTCAGCCCCAGTTCGAGCCTGCAGCAGCAGGCGTATCGAACGCATGCATGTGCTTGCATGCGTATGCATGCAGTTGACTGTATATATATTTGTTTTTTGCATGCGTTGACTTGCATGCAGTTGCATGCATGCGTTTCGTAGCATGCATGCGTTTGCATGCGCATGCGTGCTGCTCAGCGCTACAGTGCATGCCAAGACGCGTCCGTGCGGGTGCTGGGTGAGGGCGTCGTCGCGGAGTCTTTCTTTAAGCAGGCGAAGCAGCTGCTGCTGCTGGCAACTGATTTGGGGCTGCTTGCCTTTGGTCAGTCCCTCACGCATGCATGCGCATGCATGCATGCGCATGCATGCATGCATGCAAACAGCAGTGCATGCAGCTTCCCCGCAGCTACTGGCCAACACCCATGGGTGCTCTCGGCGTTTGAGGCCCCGAGGGGTACTTGGGGCCCCCCCTTCCGCATGCATTTCTGCTGCTGCTACTGTTTGCTCTTGTTGTTCTCTCTGTTTCTTTTTCTGCTTCAGCTGCTGTATATATATATATATATATATATATATATATATATATATATA